TAATTATTTGGATGACTACTTTTTACTTTTACTTGAGTCATATTATTCTGAAGTAACAGTACTTTTACTTGAGTACAATTTTTGGCTACTCTACCCACCTCTGCTAGGGTCCAATAAATAACATAGTAGCGGATCAGTGCACAGGCACGCATACTCACCGATACCCAATCCTGTATTTTAGGCAGTATCGGAGGTATAACCCGAAATTACATCTACTGGAAGTTTTGAATGCCGGTACTATTTTATGGAAGAGACACACAAAAATCCTTTTTAGTGGTTTCTTAAATCACATGCCTGTAGATAGTGACTCCTATCCATCTGATTAAAACAGACATGGGTGCTGGGGATGAGGCACCATCTTTCACCCAGCATCAACAATCGCCCCCCTGTTTCCAAATCAAATTTAGATCCGTCACATCTGATGATCTTCTGCCACTGGGGCTCTCAGCCCTGACCAAACTGCTGGAGGAACTGGGTTAACTGCCTCCTCCTCCACACAGGATCACTTTTTTAAGAGAGGATAACTCAGGGAGGTAATCACATGTCAGACACATAAGCATGGAGCCTGTATGATTGTTAAGGTCAGAGTGAATTATGTTTCTTCATTAAAATAAACTATTTATTTATTGTTTTATTTGGTTTGATGGATTGTTATGAATCATTTCTTGTTGCTTGGCATATTATCAGTGTAAAGGCCCTGACTGTGCTATGACAGTGGTTTGAACTGTCAAAAAGCAGCTACAGTGGCTGTGTGTGGCCAAAGGCTACACTAATTTGTTTAGAGGCAAAGATCAACACCTGTCTAAACAGAAGAATGTCAGAAGAAAGTTAGAATGAAAGGAGAGAGAGCTGCTTTTGTTGTAATGTCCCTGCAGGGAGGACATGATGGATCGCCCTGAGGAAGAACAAACCGTGTTCATTCTGGTATTCTCTCCCTCTCTCACTGTCCTCACACTAAAGACACTCATACTTATCAAAGGTCTTACTTTGTGTTTTTGCACAGTCTTTGTCTGATTTACAGTGTTTTAAAAAGGTCTAGAAAAATATCATAAACATCACTGACAGCAGCTGTATCCTGTGATGGGTTAAACTGAAATTCCAAATAAGTGACAAAATAGTCGGAGGCGACAGGAAGCTCGCAGCATAACAGTGCTGGCAAGCGGAAGTCCGCTGACTGTGTTTGTGAAAGGTTTATCACATAACAATAAGATCGTATGTCATATGGTCATACATGTCTGTAAGAGCAGGCTTTTAAGGTGCCGGTATTCAATTTGGAGAGTGTTTTTATAAAGGCACGTCTGGGCAGAAAGGTGTTTTCATATTGCATTGTATTATAATAGAAAGGTGTATTTAATGTATGTAAATGAGGTTGAGTGGATAAAATATGACTTTCATTATCAAATATGACACCAAGCAGAAGGCCAAAAACAAGTGAGTACTACAAAATATGCTGTTTGTCCATGCCTTCTGAAATTAATGTTGTGATCTGATCTGATCAGGCAGAAAAAAGCATTTTAGCCTCATAATAAAATTAATATCACAATTACAAAAATACAAGCATGCACCATTTTTAAAATCTTTAGAAAGATAAAGTTTGATTTCTAAGATTGCTTAGAATTCAGAGGGATTGTTGAATTTGCGTTTATTTTTGCAACATCACAACTTTATGGAAGAACTGAAATATATATAACTTTAAGTCTTAATATAATTTAAAGGGGTGGGGTGTATAACCCCTCCCCCACATATAGTTGTCCCGGAACATGTTTATTTCTGCTGAAAAGTTGGGGTTTTAATATTGGGCCTTATGGAGTTTGACTTAGTGCTGGAGCCAGCCTCAAGTGGCCATCAGAAGAACTGCAGTTTTTGTTACTTCGATGTTGGCTTCATTTACAGAGGATGCAAAAAAACTGAACTATCCCTTTAAGGTTTGGTTAGATTTAGACAAAGAAAATTATAAATTGCAAAGAACTTTTATTCATTTTTTTGGAAGTTGGAACAACAAGAGGTGTGGCAGTTTTTACTGATTGTAATTTATACTGATCCTAGTTTGATCATTGATTGACTGTAAAGACTGTATTATTTTCAAACCTTTCAAACCCAAAAATAAGGTATTCCTCAGGACAACATCCTCTCAAATTGGGGGTCTTCGGTCTATTGTGGGGCGAACAGAGACTAACTGTCTTTGAAGCACAAGCCAGCTGATTCACAGAGCTGAACTTACTGCTTCTAATAGATACTACTGTCTGCTGATGCGATGCACTTATTCTCTCTCTCTCTCTCTCTCTCTCTCTCTCTCTCTCAATTCAATTCAATTGGCTTTATTGGCATGAAGTAACA